GAGTCATGTGATTTTAGTTGTTTTGAGATGGGCATCTTCAAATTCAAGAGTTTGAATCTGCACTAAGTTCTATGTATTTTATATTTATCAGTTTTGTGTATGTAACTACATCAAAGTATAGGCCAGGGCCTTTGATTGTTCATCTTTCAATGGCTATTAATGCAGGGCTCATCCTAATGGATTTTGAGTTTTGGGATTTCTTTTAGAGGAGAGATAACACTAGGAGGGAACTTTTGTTTTTTTTTTTGCTACTAAAGATTGGTGACATCTCTACAACTATGCTTGAGGAAGGCAGTCTGGAAACTACTTTTTGTCTTTTCGAGCTTTGTTTTTGGGCATCCTAAACCTTGACAAATTTATACTCTTGGGATATTTACTCTTTTGAGTTTTATTATATGCTTATTTGTGTTTGGTATTAGAGTATTGTATGCCCCTATCAAGTGGGTTTTGCTTTTACTTTACTTTCAAATGTATAAAGTATGTGTATGTATGTGTTTTCATGGAAATTAATGAAGCATTAACACATACAACATTAGATTTATCCTTGAGAAATAAAAATACATTTGAGTTATTCATACATTATTAGATGCTCTTGGGGATAGGCTATGCTTTACCCTTTTTCATATTCGCTGAATATAAGTGCTTCATAACATTTTTTAAATGAAGGAAATATATATATTCTAATATTATAAATTGATAGTACTACGGAGTATAATGTAACCAAGTCAATAACATTTAAAAAATACATATTTTAGTACTACCAATGTATAATTGTACTATTTTCTAAAGTGGTTTTTTAAATTATTTTTATTAACACACTTTTTAATTATGAAATTATTTTCAAAAATTAAGGATCATTTATGTAATATCTTATAATTGGATATTAAATATGGAAAATCACTAATTAGAAACTATTTGTGGAATTTATTCTTTATTTTTAATACTTCGTAATTTTTCCAATATCAAAACGAGTTAAGTTTTTATGGGATAGACGAAGTATATATCATGTTGAATCTATATATGTTTATTCTATATTTAAGTTTGTATACAGACATTTAATTTAATGAAGTTTTTATAATTTACACTTTGAAATAAATTACTTACGGTGCAACGCACCGGTAAAATCTAGTCTAAAGTACAATAATAATAATAATAATAATAATAATAATAATAATAATAATAATAATAATAATAATAATAATAATAATAATTACAATAATAATTACAATAACAATAATAATAATAGTAATAATAATAATAATAATAATAATAATAATAATAATAAACAAAGCCCTCAAAGCGTCTAGGTCGACGCACGCTCCTCTTTGGACGAGAAGTATAACCTCTTCTGAAACCACGTTCGAAACATTCTCCCCTGGTTCAAGAACCGACTTGTCCTCAAGTCGCAAATCTGGAAAAGACACAGACAAGACAGAGACCGGCTCCCATGTAGCATCCTCTAGACCTCCATCGGACCATACGACCAACCATTGGTCTTATGGCTTCCCATCAACAAGAATCATCCGAGCACGAATAGCTACCCGAGGGGTAGATAATAGTTGGCCACGCACAAAGTGTAACACCCTCCGTCCCGTGAACCCCGTTCACCGCGACCCAACGAGCCGGAGAGTTTACGTAGACGGTTTTTTGGACCATCTACAAGGAAAAACCCTTGCGTTGCTTGTAACTGAAAGCCCTTGATGTATTTTATTAAATGATGAAAATAAATTCACTTAAAAGAAATGTTTTATAGCGGAAGTAAATGTAAATAATAAACGTAAAGTCATAATTAAAGAAGTACGACAATGGTGGGTTCAAGCCCAAAACGTTTTCATTAAGTAATAGGAAATCAATCGGATTCCCACTGTCGACGATCCGCTGCCCCGATCTCCCAATCATCCGGGTCAGGCTCCATGTTCGTCTTGCCTACCTGCGTATAGCAAAGGAAAACAACGCTATACGCTCAGCAAAAGCTGAGTGGTAATCTAACAGTAGAACGCATAGTGCATTCACATTGATATAAACATAATTGTACATGTACTAAAGTATTAGATACCACATACAAGTTTGATGAATAATAGGTTACGAATAAACGGTGATGCAATACCAAATAATCATGATGCATGAGTTAGACTACGCAGGGACCCCTGCCCTTCGGTGATCATCCCCACGCGGTAGATGAGCCGAGGAATGCCTTAGTCTTCCCGATGGAGACTAGAAATGTGGGTGATAGCTAAAGCCTAGCTCCATGTACGTACACAAGCCCTCATGATGAAAACTCGTTGGATCCCGCAGGTTCCTGAACGGGCCCGCAGAAGAGGCGCACTAGGCCTGACCTCTTGTCGCGGTATGCAACGTATGCCATGATCCTAAACATGCGTCTAGGATATACATGATGATATGAATGCATTTCTTGATGAATGAAGTTCAACACATACATATAGGTTTGATTCCATATGAAATGATTTGTACAATATGAAGGCCTTGGGTTCAGAACTGGCTGATAATCGATATCCACTGTTGATAATCGATTATCACGCTGTGTAGCTTCTGCTCCCAAGTCCCGAAGGCCATGATAATCGATTGTCACCTCATGACAATCGATTATCAACTTGAATTGTCCAAAACGTACCAAGTTCAGAGAGGCCTGATAATCGATTATTGCTATGTGATAATCGATTATTAGTGGAACCAACTCTGACTCAATAATCCGCAGGGTCTGGTAATCAATTATCACCTGAGTGGTAGTCGATTGTCACACTTGCTGATTCAAAGGAGAAGTTCAGTGTGACCTGATAATCGATTATCAAGTCCTGTCAATTGATTATCAAGGCATGCAGGTTCTTATTTTGCCTGTTTGGTTGTGATCAAAACTTTGGAAGTTCTTGAAATGAATGTTTACATTTCCGGGTTATGTAATCAGCGAACTTACAAGGTTTCATAACGTTTATATTATCAAATGCGTAATCAAAAATCTAATTAACGAAGAGTCATGGTAACGTGGATACACGTAGGTTTAGCCGGGCAATCCTATGAATATAACGATATGATTGAACTATGAATTCTAAAGTTAGAGGGCAACGTACTCACCTCTAACGCAGGGATTGACGGAACAAAAAATGGATGAATGAACGACGATAACAAACAAACAAACAAACGAATGAACGAACTTCTACACGAACCCTTCCTCCTTCTCCCTTCTACCCCGCCTACTCGCCGGAAGGGGTCTCCTCGCCTGGCTGCTGCTGGTTGGCCAAACAACAAGAGACAGGAGAGAGTTGTGATGTTGAATGGGAGTTACAATTACGTTGGTGAAGGAGGTGAAGGGAAGAGGGAGTTTTATAATAAAGGAATTAATGGTGAATAATGAGAGAATTAAAGTTGGGAGTTATGGGCTATGAAGAGTGTGGCGTGTGAATTGATGTGGGGAGTTATCTCCCTAAATTCCACTCCGTTTTGTAAAATCTGACCTAAACGGTACGCGTTTTTCCCCCCGAACGGGTACGAATCAAAATCCGTTTACGTTTCTAGAATTAGACAGTCAAAAGGAATATTTTGACGTGATCGAATAATTTTTCTAAGGATTTTATTTTCCTAACCCAGTCGGAGTTAGTAATTAATTAATCAGAATAATCAATTCTAATAGACCGGGTTACAGGGCGTTACACAAAGTCTGCTAGCAGCGTGCTCGGTGCGACGTGAGGAACAACAACATGGTAAGCCTTCAAGAGGGAGACGTAGAACACATTGTGGATACGAGCAGAATCAGGTAGCTGAAGACGATATGCAACTGGCCCAATTCGTTCCAACACCGGGAAGGGTCCATAATAACATTTTGCCAACTTAAAAGAAGAGGGTTTGCCTACTGAGTGTTGACGGTATGGCTGCAACTTAAGCAATACAAGGTCTCTCATAACAAATGAGACATCCCTCTAATGTTCATTAGTATGCGCCTACTCGTGCCAAATTACGTCGTAGCGCTTCCAAAACATCAATGCGTTTAGTCAGAAGCTCCTCCACCGCTAGCGAACGACTTGTAATAGGCCAGGTAGGCACCAATGGCGGGGGTTCACGACCATACAGAGCACAAAAAGGAAAAGTACCTAGGCCCTCGTGATAGGCGCAATTCATGGCCAGATCTGCCCACGGTCAGAACGTGACCCAACGCGATGCCGTTCGCTGGAGAAAGCTCGGAGGTACTGCTCAAGACCTCGGTTTATAACTTCTGTCTGACCACCCATTTGCGGATGCTATGCAGTTGAATGCTTCAATGTAGTCCCACTAAGACAGAATAATTCTTGCCAAAATGTACTCATAAAAATCGGATCCCTATCCGAGATGACGGATGTCGGCATGCTGTGGTGTTTCACCACTATCTCCATGAACAAGAAGGCTACCTTAAAGGCATCATATTGTGCTTGTAAGGTGCCAAAATGGACATATTTTGTAAGTTTATCAACGGCCACAAGAATAGTTGAGTAACCCTTTGAAGGTGACAGACTCGTAACAAAATCCATTGACACCTCGTCCCATACTTTCGCCGAAATTGGGAGCGGTTGAAGGAGGCCCCCAGATTTTTGAGTGGAATACTTTGTGGTTTGACGGACATGGAAAGCTTTGACGAAGTGCTGGACCTGCTGGAGCATCCGTTGCTAACAAAAAGTGGCGGCCAGCCAGCGGAATGTGCGATCAGCCCTCGTATGCAGCTGACGTTGAAGCATGATACTCCTCTAGTAACTTCAGATGCAATGGGGAATTTGCACCGATACATACACGGGTCTTGAAATAAAAAATCCCATCAACAATAGTATAGGGCAATGGAAGGGAAGCAGCGGCGGCCATGTCATGATATCGACGTAGATCATCGAGACTTGTATTTTCTGCCCGAAGTTGCTATCAGAAATCCGGCAGGGGTTGGGTTAAGGCGGCAAACTGCGCTGCATCAGTGTCTGGTTTCTCTCGATTGGACAAAGCATCTGCCACGCAATTGGAGCTGCCTGTTTTGTACTTGATATGAAATTTGAAGCCCATTAATTTCCGTATATAGAACTGTTGGCCAGGCGTCTGAATCACCTGCATAATAACTCCTTCAGGCTCTTTTGATCCGTGCAAATGACAAATTCCCTTCCCAACAAATATTGACGCCACTTCGACACGACCTCAACAATAGCGTATAACTCTTTATGATAAGTCGATGATACCCGTTGTCTAGGGCCCATCTTTTTGCTAGAGAAAGCAATGGGATGACCCTCTTGCAATAACACAGTTCCGATTCCATCCGTTGACACATCTATTTCCACCAAAAATGTTTGGGTGAAGTCGGGTAAGCAGAGGACAGGTGCATTCGGCATAATCTCTTTCAAGGCGTTGAAAACACGCTCAGCCTCCGGAGACCAGTGAAACTCACCCTTCTTGAGAAGGTATATGAGCGGGGCAGTCAAGGCAGCATATCCCCTCACGAATCGTCGATAATACCCCGTAATCCCTAAAAAAACTCTGTAATTGCTTCACGATAGTGGGTGGTGGCCATGCAACCATTGCCCCAATTTTGGAGGGATCTGACTTCAGCACACCGTCAGAGATCAAGTGTCCTAAGTACTCAATGGTCATTTGGCAGAAGGAGCATTTGTACAGCTTGACATAGAAACAGTGGTCCTCCAACATATTCAAAAGCACTTCGAAATGTTGTGCATGTGCTTCAATGGAGGTGTTGTAGACTAGGATATCGTCAAAGAATACAAGCACAAAGTGGCCCAGGTACGGTTGGAACAACTGGTTCATGGAAGATTGGAAAGTGGACAGCGCATTCGTGAGACTGAAGGGCATGACCAGGAACTCGTAGTGTCCTTCGTGTATACAAAAGGCAGTTTTAAACACATTATCTTGGTGCATGCATATATGATGATACCCAGAGCGGAGATCGAGTTTCGTGAAACACTTTGCCCCACCTAATTCATCGAAAAGCTCATCCATAGTGGGGATCAGAAAATGGTCAGGAATTGTGGCAGCATTGACCGCACGAGGGTCGATGCAAAAACGAAAGGTGCCATCTTTCTTGCGTACCAATAAAACAGGGGAGGAAAAGGCACTATGGCTTGGTAGGATGCTGCCTTGTTGTAACATCTCTCGAACTTGTCGTTCAATTTCTTCCTTCTAGAAATTAGGAAAGCGTTACAAACGAACGTTGATTGGTCTTTTACCGGGGTTGAGATGTATCTGATGGTCCCAAGCACATCGTGGTGGCAGCCCTGTGGGTTGCTGAAAAACTCTAGAATGCTTGAGGAGTCCCACATGGACTGGGGGAGGGATATCTGCCGGAAAATCAGCGGACAACTCCAGGGCTTCAGGTCGCCCAGATAATAATTCATACAACTCAAAGTTGTGGTCCGATGCCGTGAGCACCAGCAAGGAGGCAGCGGAGACCTGCCTGGGGCCATAACATCACCCTGCAAAATTACAGGATCATCATTCCGTACAAACTCCATTGTTAGTTTAGCATAATCATGTGAGACATGACCGAGGCTTTGTAACCATTGAACGTCCAACACCACATCTGGACCGTGAATGGGCAACAAGTAAAGGTCCACATCAAACAAATACCCTTGTAAAACAAGTGACGTATGTGGACAATAGTATGTGCATTGGAGAGAATCACCATTCCCAACGTACACCCGAAATGATGTGATGGGGTGCAAGACCAATCGCAAAAGTTCCGCCTGTCGTGGATGAATAAAATTATGGGTACTACCCCCATCAATGAGGACCTGGACGGGGAAACAATTAATAAGCCTAGAAAGTTTGAGGGAGCGAGGGCTGGGTGCGCCGGACAGGGAATGAATATTGGACACATCCCCTGTAATAAGGCCAATGTCCTCGATGTTGGTGTCGTTGGCAGGTAGGTCCCCCTCATGGTCATCCGTCCCAAGCAAGGCCAGAAATTTATGCCCACAATGATGACCGAGAACATATTTTTCCTCGTAGTTCCAGCATAAACCTTTATGCAAGCGTTCTGCACGTTTGGCATGGGACAAACAGACCACAGGGAATGGTGGCCAAGGCATATTCCAGTCTGCTGTGGCTGAAGCCGCACGCTTAGGGGGGTTGGTGGATGTGTGTTCAGTTGGACTGGAAGACAACCATGGCCGTTTGGATTGCCCAATTGAATGAAAAGCTGTTAATTCTCGGGCCAATGCAAAAGTCTCTGCCAACTTCGTTGGGTCCCGTAAATTCACCTCCCACTGCAGTGGTTGTTTTAGTCCTCCTTTATACATGGAAATCAGTGTTGATTCCGGGAATCCCGAGACCTTATTGAGAAGACCCTCAAAGGCAATTTGATACGCCATGACGGTCGTGTGTTGCTGCAATTTGGAGAGCGTACTAATATAATTGGAGTAATGATCGGGATAAAAACGTTTTTTGACAGCGCAGAGAAAGTCAATCCATGAGCCCCCACAATAATTAGTGAGATAGTACCCAAACCATTCGGAAGTAGGGTGGTCAATTAACATCCCACCAACTGAAGGCGTTCCACTTCCGCCGTGTAAAAATAATCAAAATATTGTTGAATTCGAAAAATCCAACATACCGGATCGTCGCCAATAAAACGGGGAGCATCAATGCAAAGACGAGCCTGTCGATCAGGAGTATCCCCATGGCCCACTGTTCGGGACGGAGGTGGATGCCAACGTTCATCCGTTCCATGAGATTTGCCATTCTGTTGCTTGTCATCGCTCTCACTGGAAATCCGGACGGCCAGGGCTTCCAATTTATTATTGGTAGCATTCAACTCCATACCCAAATTATGAATAGCTTACATGACAGTGGTTAGGGACAAGGGTGTCTCCGATGACATGTCGAAGTAGAGCAATAAGTAGTTCAAGAACGGAAGCACCAATTGTTACCCAAGAGGTAACGGTGGAAACACCAAAACGTAGTATCTGAACGGGAAGGGGAAGAGGAAGAGAGGATATAGGGTTAAGGGAGTTGTATTTCATTCATGGTCAATAACTTAAGGTGACAACCCATTATATAGTGATGAGACTTAACACAAACCCTACATATTCCAAGTTTTCTATCCTGTTGGTTCAAGAAAAGCATCGAGGTAAAGAACTGAAAAGAAACCCTCGAAGGAGCTTATAATATGCTCACCTAATAAAAATCTAAAGTAAAATAATAATAATAATAATAATAATAATAATAATAATAATAATAATAACAATAATAATAATGTTAAACAAATCCTCAAAGCGTCTGGGTCGACGCACATATTTTTACATTATACTACGTATGATTTTATTAATTTGAGTTTTCCTTGGTTGATAAGGTTGTTTGACTTCAAGTACTAAAACTATTACTTTTATCCGGTAGTAATATCATTATAAAACTTCCATAGTCTATTTTGTATTCTAGACTTTTAAATTTAAAATAAACATTTTTGTTGAAACTCATTTTTTAATTGTCTATGTCACTTCCATTTACCACTATTTAATGTTTGTGATGCTTAATTCATATAAGATTAGCCTATTTGAATCTCCATTGCCAATATTTGTTTGTTTATATTTGATTTTGTAATGTCATTTTATTTATCTTGTTTGAAGGTACTCTTCTTGCAGAAGGGTGTAGACTTTAGACAAATAGAGATTAGATTACTATTTTTATTACTTAATGTGTATGAGGACTTATGTTTTTCAGTATTTAGCTAGTGATGATGATTTGTGCTGTGTAAATATATACTTACTTTGAAAAATCTTAAATAATTTTTGACATATAAATTTATGCTATTAAATGTTCATGTTTTTATTTATGAATAATACATACGTATTATCTATATACTTGATTTACATACATTCATTATCTGTGATTGCCTTTCCACAGACGTTTGTAGTCTGTGAATACTTTATGCATGTAACATGCAACATATTGTACAAGGTATTGCTGCTCTCATTACAAGTGCATAAAAAATCATGTGTAATTTTCATTTATAACTTCTAAGAACACTTTTTGTGTCGATTACATATTTACATTTCATAAATATGATGAAATAAACCACATATTCATATATTCATTTAAATAAAAATTTCTAACATTTATTATGTCCTTTTGTCACCTAAGATGTTATCAAACAAGACATAGAGTTCACAGATATTTATTATCTGCAATTACTTTTTCATCGAAAGTTACTATCTGTATTTACTCTTTACATAAAATATTGTTCACATACACTCTTCAATCAATTTACATTGTTGTAAACGTTTATAACTACAAAATAAATTTTTGAAAAATAGAGACAAAATCATCGTTGAGTATGGGTGCAACACATTTTGTGTTTTGCTCTTCAAGTAGTATCCTCGAATTTCTTCAATGTCACAAAACTTCACCTCAACTAAATATACAATATATCCTTCGATACAACACTCACCATTCATCGCTACTAACACGTCATTATTTAACAAATCTACAAAGTGAGGATTGTCATGAAAAAACTCGGATTGAATGTCATCAACATAACCTACAAAAATATATAGACATCCACCGTTGTATTATAAAATGTCATCTAAATACAAAACGATACAGAAAATAATCGTCTGAAATATAACAAACCTTAGATTTACACACATTAAACATCTGTAACAAAAATTAGAGAAATTTCAATAACAAAAATTAAAAATTTCTACAAAAATAATACTCATAGTATCATGTTGAGAGGGGACAAATTAAACATAAATCTCCCCTCAAAACAAACGACATAAATATTCAACAATTTATGAATTTCATTAAAAAAAATCAGTTTTTACCATTTTAATCATTCAAAACAAAAATTATAAGCAAATTCTTTTAACCTCATACTAAATATAAATGGAATAGGAAACATATTACATAAGAGTTTCTAATAAGTGAGGAAATTAGATCTTCCACACAGATTGGAATAAAAAAGTCCAGATAATTGTTCAAAAGAGTTGAATTATTACCCTCTATACCTTTCTATTCTTTCTTTAAAAATTAATTTTTAAAAAGTAAAGAAGAAAAAAAAGATGATGATGGCGGATGAAATAACTTACAGGAAGGAGTGTTGATTCTAATTGAAGAGAAAGGAAGAAGAAAGGGCAAAAATTGTTTCGTAGAGGGCAATGAAAGAGAGAAGGGAGAGGACCCATGAGAGAGAAAAAAAAGGAAACAAAAGAAAATTAGAAAATTGAAAAAAAGCTTATGTATAGAGGCAAGTATGGGGACAATTGTGGTAGGCGTGTAGCACGGTCCTAAAATAATGGGACTTGCCTGCGGTGTTCTCGAGCCTCAAGAACCCAATTGTAGGTCTCGAACACACAACAAAGTGTTGAAGGAGAAATGTGCACCCATAATCGCCACAGGGAGAAGAAATTGAGGAAGACAAAAGAGAACTTGCGAGCTCTTAGTAACATAAAAACTTGATGTATCCTATATTAATTATGAAAAAGGTAACTAATAGAATTCTTGACCCTAATAGCCGGTTGGACGGAATGTACCCTTGAGTAGTTTACTTCAAATTTTAGACACTCCCGGAGTTAATTTTTTGAAAATGTGAAGACCCCAGAGTTCTTACTACAAAATCAAGGGTACCCATAAGTAACTTTGCTATAATCACCAACAAAAGCGACAGTCCGTACAAGAGAGCTGACCAGTAAAAACGACCATGAGAGCAAAGTATTCAAACATGAGATGTGTAAATGACACTGCAATAAAACTAAACCAGCAAGTATAATCTAACACTGCAATAATATACACGTGCAAATGACATTCACTTGAATTTCCAAGCCTTTCTTTCAGACGATATTTGCTTTTTTGTAGATGTACAATCTGGAATAGTACAGGTATCCGGCAAAGATAACCGTGCTTAGTCCAGCAAGAAGCCAATAGAAGTAGTCAAGATGCGCGCGGTTCAAGTTGTTGGAAAACCAACTGTCTCCCCCGCCTCTGCTAGTGGCTTTGTCAATGATCGAAATCAGAAAGGTGCTTAAGAAGCTTCCGACCCCAAAGATACTGAGGTACAAAGAGAGGCCTATGCTTTTCAATTCACAAGGCATCTGATCGTAGAAAAACTCTTGCAGACCAACCATGCTAAATGCTTCAGAAATACCAACTAATGTGTACTGAGGTATTAACCAGCACACGCTAATGGGAAGGGTTGCCCCTGGCCTGTCAACCAACCCATTGTCGAAAGCAGCCCGAAGGCGTTTCTTCTCAACTATAGCTGCAATCGCCATGGACAGTATGGAAAAAACCATCCCGGTCCCAATTCTTTGGAGCATTGTTATACCCGATGGTCGACCGGTTAGAGCTCTTGCGAAAGGAACCAACACGCAATCATATAGAGGCATAAATACAACTATGGAAATGCAGATGAAACATTGAAATGCAGCGGCTGGTACTTCAAGATTAGAACCAATAGATCTATCCATGGTTGCTCCTTGCTTGGTGAATAAGGTGGAAGTCTGTGAAAACACAAGAGCGTATCCCAAACATGTAGCCCATATTGGAGCCAGTCTGAGAATTGCCTTAGCCTCTTCAACCTCATCCATGCTAGAAGCTCTCTTGTATCCCTTTGAAGCATCAGGAACAAGTAGTGCTTTGTTAAGGAACCTGTGATCCCAAAAGTTTAAAATTAATGAATATAAGATGTTTGAATTGGATCAAATGATACTTATTGCTTCAGGTTTGCAAAGTAACCACCTTGTAAGTCCATCCTAGCATGTCAAGCACTGGAAAAGAACAAAGCAAATGCATAGTTCAACTACGGAGTTTATATAAAGGAAAGGCTAATAACTTACATGAATTGTTGAGACCCTTTGTTTGGCAAAACGCCTTGAACCTCAAGCTCCATTAATACTTCAGATGTGCTAGCTTTGCGATTTGTTGTAGCATAAACAAACACATGTCCGATTCTCACAAATGGGTTTTTATTATCGCTGTATTGTCGAAAACGGTAAGTAACAGTACCAAATAAAAAAGTAATCAGTGCAAGGCCCATGATGATACAAGGGATTCCAAACCCAAGGCCCCAACTAAGGTAGTCTTGTATATAGGTCAGAACCAATAGTGCCACAAAAATACCAAAGTTCATTCCAAAATACCACCAGTTGAAAAATGAACTTTTGGCTTTATTCTCTAGTGGATCTTGGGTATCAAATTGGTCAGCTCCAAAAGCTTGCACACAAGGCTTGTGCCCACCTTGAGCTAGTCCAACCATATAAAGAGAAAAGAAAAAGAAGATAATTTCAAGCTTAGGAGGAGAGCATTTGCCACCATCTATAGCGTTTTGGCAATTGAAAGACTTTGAATGAAGCACAGCTGATAGAGTTAGGAAGCCAAGCCCCTGCAATTGAACAGATCTTTGATAAAGATTCATACAATGCCTTTTTGGTTAAATAATAATAATAATAATAGTAATAATAATAATATTGTTATTGTTGTTTTTGTTGTTGTTGTTGTTGTTGTTATTATTATTATTATCAAACTGCTCATTTTTAATCTTTACTCTGTTAGAACTTAAAGAACCTAGTGATTGATGGAAAAATGCTAAGAAACTTGAAGGACGGGAACATTACTTGGGAAGTATCCAAGAAGGAAAATAAATGTGTTAAAACTAGAAACATTAAAGAGCCAAATGTGTACGTGATGTATATAAAGACTATAGGAGCAATGGAGCATATCGTCTAATACCAAAATGAATATTGACATGTATGTACTATCACCTTAATCTAACTATGTTGGGTTATTGTTTTGAAAGGTAGCCTGAATTAGTTGTCAAAACTCACCAGACAATACAAATTTATACTCCCTCTATCCCGATGTATATGTCAAGTTTGACTTTTATGCTCTACTTTGTGAACGGTTGACTATTTTTATCTATCATGATAATTTTAAAAACAGCCTTATGCAAACAAATCTTATAAAACCGTTTTCATATCATCATTCAATGTATTTTTATTTAAGTGATAGCCAAAATTAGCAAACTTTGACTACAAAATGTCAAACTGGACAAATATATTGAAACAAAGCAGGCTGACCTTTTTGTTACAATATTTTTACAAAACAATAATGAGATTAAATTGAAAAAAACACAATCATCATAGGTGTAACTAATTACACGATATATTATAGAATGAGATTTTTCTTATACCCATGTACGATTACAAGTTTGGTATTGTGAAATCGGAATGCACACCATACAAATAATAAAAAACAGAATGTACATAATGATACATAGCCATTGTGATTTGTGACATATATATTGAGTGTCATTTTATACAAGATCATAGTTATCACGACGCCAAGTCGAGACGCGGCGCTGGGGTACCGCCAGGACGCCTAGGCGACACATAATATAGGAGAATTGCTATACGTTAAAAACACTAATATAAACATATCAAATTATATATTGTAGTTGGTAAAGCTTAAATTTTTTAATACATCAAAGTTTAACTACCAAAGTTATTTTTAAGTACTTTCTTAAAAAAACAAAGTTGAAAAAAAGTGTGACCGACTTAAGTTGGTAATAAATTAATCATTTAAAATTTTAAAAATTAAGCACCAAGTATTAATTAGGAAGATAAAGTAGAAAACACATTAACTTGCAAATAAACTAATTTATAAAGCACTAAAAAACAAAGCACTATATCCAGATGCATAAAACACTTAAAAAAATAAATTACTGGACTTAAAAAACAAATGTACTGGACTAGGTGAGGCTAAGGCGATGCCTAGGCGAGGAATGGCGAGGCCAAGGTGACGCCTAGGCGAGGAATGCAAAATCAGGCGCGGTGAGCTCCCAAGGCGAGAGTAGAAGGGTGCCTGGATGCCTAGGCGACGCCTTGATAACTATGTACAAGATAACGTTCTCTCTGAACATATTAGCAAATTATTTGTAAACTCAGTGATCCCCTCAACTTGCAAATACTTTACCAAGTCTTTGAGAAACGCTCAAACGGACTACATTTCTAAAAAGCTTGGTGCTTACGACATGTATAGAACTATAGACTAGCTCGAGGAGGTGTTAACACGTATGAAGTTTGTAGTAATTAGTAAAATTATTGTTTTGCTGTAAAGTTAGACTTGGTATTTGTTGATATTAGCTCCAGGACTTTGATTGTTTCTTTTGGCATTCCGTTTAACCCAAGTTCCTTAATGGGGGAAATGGGTTATAGATTTTGTGTTTTCAGCTTCCTATTATACATGCTCAAGATAGTAACCTGATTCATCTCCAAAACTCTATTCCTCACTTTGAGTTTTTTCTAAAATTCAAGGAATTCAAAAGTTCTAGGACTTCATCACCATCTGAATTAGACTTTTTTTTTGTTCTTTTCTTTATGGATGTACGAAAAAGTCTCAAGGAGAATCGAACATCCAGGACACAATCAGAGAATAGAGAGAAAATAAATAGATGTAACAATACACTTAAGGGAAAAAAGGAGGCAAAAATATAGACGAATCAATACTCAAACATAGTTAGAAATCTAGTCAGATAATCAAGCGAGTTGGATGGGGCCCCCATTAGATATCTAGTTGGAGGTTGGTGCTCACGCGCAGAGTGCAAGGGAGGTGTGGAAGGCAGAGTCTTGACTCATTGAAGGTTGCCGGATCTCTGTAGTTGGAGGTGTCGTTACCTGGTTCAAATATGTGGACCCCAAAGCCTGTGGAATGACTAAGAAATTTCTGTGAAATATCTTGTGAGAGAAAAGCTACTATATGTTCTGGAAAGCTGAGACATATTCTAAATTGGCTTTAATACAATTTTTAAAACAAGAGAGAAAGTAAACAGAACATACCCATTATATCCCACTCTAAACCAGATCAAGAGGTATATAGACCTTACCTCTATCCAAGGAGCAGAGAGGTTGTGTTGGTGAGGGCTCCCAACTATTAGTGACATGTAGTGAGTGTTAAAAAAGCTAGTCGAGTCCAACTGACAACAGCACTCCCACAAAGCCTTTATAAGAACTCTATAACTCTAAATGGACGTTTTTCCACTCTTTGTTTACTGCGTAATGGTGAGAATGAGGCAAATCATCTATATTGCACTTGTGCTTTTACAGTGAAGGTGTTGAAAGAGATTACTAGTTGGAGTGGCTATGACTTTACAGCTAATCCCCTTGAAGCAAGTTAGGAGCGCATTCTTAAGATCAAGCTTAGGAATAGAAGGAGGTGTATAGCTGCAGTGTTTGCTGCTTCCTACTACATCATCTGGAAAGCTAGGAATGCGAAGGTTCATTCTAACAAAGAAATGAGCGTCTTGGATTGCACTAGATTGATCAAATTTAATGCTAGTACTTTTATTGAAGCTAAGGCTAAACTTACAGCAGGCTAATGTTCTTGCCTTCTTAAATATTTTTCTGCTTTCTAGGCTCGTTCGTATTGTTTTAAACTGTGATAATAAAGTTGTGCTTTGTTAAAAAAAAACTCTAAAGGGATGTCTCTACGAACTCCTACTTAGGGGTGTAAACAAATCAAATACTTTAAATTCGATTCGTGATCCGTATTCGAATATAATGATTCAAATTTGCTTTATTCAAATACAAATACAAATTCAAATACTAGCTATGATTCGAATATTAAACAAATAGAAATAGAGACATATTCGATTCGAATGATATTCGAATATCTATATATACACATAGACCATCTTTTCAAAATCAATGTATAGACCATCTTTTAACTCATATAGTATAAAGTACATTTAAATTACTAAAATTTCATCAAACTAATGTAACACAAAAATCTAAAGCATATGATTTCAATAGTTATGTTTTATAACATATAATTTGTGTAAGACGCAAATGTATTAATGGTTTTTGATATAGTATAAGAAATATTGTGAGTTAGTCCTCCTACTGATGAATAACTTGAACCCAGCCACTGAGCTTGTCATACATGTATTTGGACCACTAATAGGATTTTGGACTTTAAGGATATGAGTTCAATGCAGCACAGAAAAAGACCCTTAGGGTTTGGCATTTCTGACCATGCTCCTCATGCTGGTCAGCATACCGCCCCCAGCACTCATGTTATTCGGCTAAGTCCTTAACAAACTAGCTTTACTTAGTCTTTTGTTGCTTGTTTGTAGTTTGTTGCTTCCTCGACTCGGTCACCCCCGTTGGGCTTAGCCCAATATCATAGCCAGTAGTTTAGGCCTTTAAGGACTTCCGCCACACTTGTATCACTTTATATCTACCCTCCCTTATGTGGAGGAGGGACATGCTATTCACAATTCAACTCACAACTTACTCTCAACTCTGAGTTCTATCTATTATCTCCTAGCTTTCTAGCTCCCCTCTCCCCATCCCCCCCACGCTCACCCTCCCCAATCTGTAAGACCATCACCTATCATCCAAAAGTTTTCATGCCAGCTATGGCAGCATACATGACCCCCACCGAAATATGCTACCTAACATCTAGCCCAACAAGCATCCCCATTCCCAACCCTATCTAAGACCTTTGACCTTAAATCTGGTAAACAACGCACCAAGTTCTGTGTTAAGAAAGCTACAATTTGTGTGACCATGCTTCATGGTTTTTTACTATATACTAGAAAATAACTGTGTTTTTCATATTTCAACATATAGCAAAAGCGTATGAGAAATTAAATCAACAAGTATTCTCCAAGTCTATTGAAAAATGTTAGCCACTTTCTCAAGGACATATTACTTCTAGTTCTTTTGTTATTGCATAGCTTCATAAAAAATAAAGAGCTCATTGGATATTAACACTAAATAAGTTTCATTCAAGTTTGTTGCCTTTGCCTTGCAGTAGTGAATCATAAGTAGGACAAGGGCCCTCGTTTGTGACTAGGCCAACATCAAGCGCTGCTGTGGATGATCCAATACTGGGGTCAACCCACAGCTTATAAACAGACCAACATAAGGCGCGAGAATGGTGACTGTACGAGAATCGACCACATCGCTCTTGAGGCACTATGAGCTACCAAGACCATGGATCGGCACGCGTGTTGTGCTCCTTGTCACAGCATATGAGCATAAAACTCATGTTGTATGAAGAGACGAATCAGGCACAAAAAACCACTACAAGCCTACCATCTACAGACAAATTGATGCCTCTAAGTTCAAAACAATGCAGCTACTGTGTACTAACCACGACATAGAGTAAGGAGGCAATGACTATGGTCCAGTATCTACCGAGAAAAGAGTCGGCCAAAAATGCACCCAAGAGAGGCAAAAGAGACGCCGTTCCTGTCCAGGCATTCACGTTCTCCGCGGCTGTGGCAGTGGACTGGCCCAGCGGGCCAGTCAGATAGCTTATCAGGTTCAAACCTATCCCGTAGTAAGCAAATCTCTCTGCCATCTCCACAACTAAAATGGAAAAATACTAAAGCTTATTAAAACCGAGCTGAAAAGATTCAACAACAATAATGATAAAAAATAATACGAAGTACGATTTTAGGCGAACTCAGACTAGAAGTTGGGTCGGAAGTTGGGGGAATTGAATTACCTATGATGAAAGAAGCAGATCTCCACCGGCCGGATCTGGATCTGGTGGCAGGTTGGCCCTTGTAATCGACGGAGCCATGGACGAGATGATGCTGCAGGATGGGCGTAGCTGCGGCGGCAGCGGCGGCGTCGTCAACAGTTCTCCCCCCTGTACCCATAGAGACGAGACAGCCACCGCGTTTCTACGGCACGTTAGTGGAGATGGGGTCTTCATAACAAGCTAACGATGAAATGAGACTCAGTCTTCGTCCGCAAATGTCACCACTCAACGTAACAGGTGAAAGGGATTGAATGATTGATGTTGCGCCATTGCGAGTGGGGACGAAGATAAGTGGTAAGTCTTTTTAAATAAACATAATGTATTCCAGGATTTAAACTTTTTTATTTCTTAAATAGGACTTAATAATGACCTAGTGAGAGAAATAATGTCTTGTAATGTTAGACATTTACTTGAATAATGACTACTTGATAATGACCAAACGTCCTACATTGGGAAATAAAAACATATGGTCATATATTGGGAAAGTCATGTTTTAGTCCTATTTAGGTAAATTTCTCTTTTAACTACCTACACGGCTACATTCATTGTGTTTTTGAATTTAATTACAACTACGGAGTACTTCCCATTTGTCCCCCACTCCCTCCATCACCACAAAAAAAGGCAAGAAAATAAAAAAAATTAAATAAATAAAAATAAGTGGTGGAGAAAGGGATGAGGGACAAATGGGGTACCAAATGGTGTACCCCTAGCATTCTTCTACTTCTTTACAAAAGCAAGAGGATTTTTTTCCCTCCTAACTTCTAGACAACTTTTAGTCTTTAAGAGCAACTCCAATGAGAGAGGTGTATGAAAGGATAAAGAAGAATATTTGTGATATATACCTCTTTTCATTAAAAATCATTCTCCAATGAGAGAAGTAAATAAGGAGGCATTATACCTTCTACAATTTTCAAGAGGCATCTTTACCTTCTTCATTTGAGAAGGTATATCAATTTTTCCCACTTTTTAAATTTATTTCATCAATTACTATAGTTATTGTATTTTTGCTTGAACGTATTATTATAAATTTTTAATTTGTATCTTTTTAATTGTAAAACTTAACGAGTCAAGAATTAACAAAAAAATGATACTTTGCTTTTTAATTTTGCACTCTGTATTTTTAAATTTTTTCTATTCGGGTATTTATAATTTTACATGTGCAATTAGACATAATGTATATTTAATTATTTCAAAACTGACATTCTAATTTTTTTCCCCAAAAAATTAGTTGTATTTTTATAAAATCTTGAAATTTAAAATTTTAATCAAGAAGAAACAAAGGAACAAACCTCAAATTTACCTCCCCATGATTTTTTTAAGAATGTATATTTTCTTTTCTAATAATTAAAATTTGATTTAAAAAGGTAAATCAACTAATTTTTTCCCAATAATGTATGGAGATGGATTTTTTTCCCTCTTTTGCCTTTTGATTTACCTTCTCTCATTGGAGTTGCACACTTTTTGGAAAGGTAAACTTGATCATTTGGAGAGGTAAATGAGATATATACTTCTCCAAGACACCTTTTACCTCATGCCAAAATTTATTAGATCACATTCTCACCGAATATATATATATATATATATATAGGGCCGGTTCATATTGATTACTACTCCAATAACCCACCAACTTCCGCACACAATCTAAGTTCACAAGAACTTCAGATTAACACTCATTTCACGTTTTCAAAAAGAAATGAAAAAGTTTTAAATTTATAACAAAGTCTATTCACCCCCTCTAGACTTTGTATCTCACCACTTAGGGAACCACCAGTTTTGACGGTGCAAACGCCTTAACTTATAATCTGAGGGCAATAATTTGTTGCTAGATATCGCTTATTGCTTATAGTATTGGTGTAGTGCCTATACTATGGCCAGCTTTATAAGTGCATATACGAGTCACACACTTTGGACAATTTAAAGAGTATGATTAAACAATGGGATAATAACTAATTTGCATATTTGTAAAATAGTTAAATAATATACATATACATATATACACACACACAGACACATACACACACATAAACTATTTGAAGTATGGTCATTTTAAATAATTGTTTTGACATAAACTATGGTCATTTTAAATAATTGTTTTGACATAAACTATTTGAAGTATATTTTATATAATTGTTTAAAAATGATATTGGTATTTTTGTTTGATTTAAAATTAATTTTATATTAAATTTTGTTGTCAAATAAAATACACTTGAAACATTTCAGTGGAGAAAAATTTTGAAAATTCTTCTCAAATCAATACATACGGTCATATGAATTAAAGGATTAACAAATTTGTTTTAACTTTTCTTGATTGATAAATTAGTGGTCTAATTGTTTTGTTATTTACGTAATGACAAAATGATAATGATTTCTCTCGTTTCATACATATAATCACACACCACATTTATTTTAGCGTGAAGGGATTTTTCGGCCAAGAATTCAAGAGAGTGAGAAATGCTATTTTAGTGTTCCATTAATATCATTTTGTGTATAGAAAATATCTATAATATTTTCTAAATATTATAAGAAATATTTTCTATAAAAATACACAAGATTATTATTATCCCAAAATTTAATCTTTATATTTTATACTACTATGATCTTTATGTTTGCATTTTCAACGCTCTTCCTACGACTTCTTCGTTTTTAGCACTTCCGGAAAAAGGTATAAATTTCTTACATGCTATAAGTTTGAGTACGTGATTCTAGACAAGATAATCATGTTAGGATGTTAATATTTTTATTCTGTTGTCTATTCTTTCATGGATACCTATCAGTGTATCAGAGCCACCGTACAAAACTATAGTTTTAAGTTTGACTTTTTAATTTCAAAAGGTCAAAATTTTAACTTGGTAATTATTAAAATTCAAAATTGGTTAAATGATTATTTTAGTCTTGGAATAAATATTGGACTTAAATGAATAATTGGAAATAAGTTTTAAAAATTTATTTGTTTGTTTCTACGGTATTATATATATATATATATATATATATATATATATATATATAATTATATATATAATTATATATATTTTTATTTTTTTCGAAATATATATCTATGTATATTATAGAAATAGTAAATATGATTTTAATTTCACATAAACATTATTTTATGATTGTTAAAATTATATTGTTATTTTTGAATGAATTATTTCCTATTGTGAATTTATTGTATTTATTTAGGTGAAAACCAAAAATAAATATGGAAAAATTCGAAATGATTTTTGTTAAACTTGAAAATATTATTTCTAAGTTAAGTAAGCTTGTTGATAAAAATATTGTACAAAATAATATTAGTAATTAAAAAGATATATACTTATATATTTACTCAGTTTTTACCGAAGTATTATATATATTTATTTTTGTATTTTAATTACATAAATGACTAATATATATTTTGGAAAGTTATATCTCATTAATAAAAATAATCATTTTAAAAAATATTAAATTTTTATTGTTTAATGTTTTCGAAATATATTTAAATGGCTTTTTATAACTTATTGAGATTTAACTAATATATTTCCGGAAATAATGATTTATAAATTTTGGAGATTTATTTTCAGACTTATAAATTTTGAAAATAATTACTGGAACTTTAAATTTAATTTTCATTATTTTTGCAAAGTTGTTTCAAAATTAAATTGATTTTATTTGAAATTATTTTACAAAAGGGAATTTTGGTAGTTTGAAATATTTGGAATTTTTTATGCTGGCCAAATATCCATAGTGTATAACATGATTTTTATAAAATTTTATTAGATTTATTTGGACATCTAAAATTATTTTATGAGTTTAAGGAATTATTTTCTACCGTTGTAATTTTTTTGAATTGTTTGGGGCGAGCGTGGTTCGCCTGGTGTATGTGTTTTTCCATTGTCTATGTGGATAAATGATATGCATGGTGAATATGATTGTGACCATAGTTTAATGATTGTAATTTTAAATACGGTCTATGTACCGTACCTTTATCTATTAAATTCTGGATGTAAATCTTTCTTTATCTTACCTCAACCAAGGAGTCCTTTCTCATATGGTGATTTGAAGACGAAAAGATTTGAAGTCCATCTAAAGAAGTATAAAAGAATGGAGACAGACAATCAAGTTGGGCAAGAGTAGGAAAGATCGTTCGCTTATAGCAACTTGTATCACAATAGGTTGTTACTTTGTGTGGAAGAATAGGAACATGCAGCTCCGTTGTCGCGAGAAGGATTCAAAAGATCACCTAATTCAAAAGTTGAAAACCACTATAAGGATGAGAATTGGAGATAAATTTTCTGTCTAGATATTTGGTCTTCTCTATTCAACTGGCACTATTTGTTTTCTTATTAGTGTGTAATGGGGTCACCCCCTTTGTAAGACTTTTTGATTTTGTGATTAATAAATTGTGCTTGGTTCAAGAAAAAGAATGGAGACAGATCGTGGTCCAAGTCCGGGAAGTGGTGGAACTGTCGCTTTTTTATTTTCTTTTAGGGGTCACAATCATTTCACGTTTATTTACTGCGTTTTGTGAATGCATGTTGAATGTAAGTTGAACGCTAGTAATGGACATGTGTTCTCGAAGTAGTTGAAATATTAAATGAATTTGTCATGTCTCTCTTTTTTATGATGAAAAGGAGCATTTGAGTTTTGATTCATCATCCCAAGTAGATACAAATGTAGGTGTTGATGGCGATTGGATAATGTTGAAACACGGGCTTGTCACGTTCTAGTACTAAAACCGTGTTCGTTTTTGTAACAGGTTTTGATAATGCCAAACCGCCATGATCAAGTCAAACATTGAATATACAAGGCGAAGAATGAAGATAAGAGCAAGAGCTAAACGAAGACCAAGAACGAAGACCTTAATCATAGTATTGAGTGGTCTTTATTGTGATCAAGACCGACCCAATCTTTACACTTTGGCTCTTTAGGCGAAAAACTCTCATTGCATTTCATACATCATAAAAATGGTTTTAAACTTGTTTAAGTCATTAAAAAACGCTTGGTGTTCGCCCAAACCAAAAACCAAGCCATCCAGTGTTCGGCTTTTAGAAACCAGCGTTCGGCTTTCAGTTGTCGGGTTTGGTTTTTGGCATCCGAACCAACCAAGTGGCTTTCAGCATTTTATGATCTGCTTTCACTCTTTGGCATGTTTAAACGGTTCTCCAACAAAAACACCTTGAAAACCATCTCTCGCTTTTAGTCGTTTGACAAAAACCACGCAAAACGGCGTAAACTTGGCTAGCCGTGGTTTT